CTTCAACAATGGATAACAGACATTTTTATCCAAGACATCTGAAGTTAATTTAAAAGTAAATCTGATATTAAAATGGGCTTCCTCCCTCATTCTTACTTAGATGTGTGATTCATATTGTCACGAAGTTTGGGTATACTTAATTTTAGGAATAACTTGTTTATGTAATTGCTGAGAATTATAATTATATAATTAAAGCTTCATTTATATTTATATAACATTAAAAATTTGTTATTTACTTTTCACACTGAAGTAAGAACAACGATATAACTATTATATTATAACAGGCGCTTACCGTATCATGCAAACTTATGTAAAAATGAGGCACAATTTTAACGAAAACACGTCAGTATGTGACTACATTTGATTGTAAACTAGTCGAGTCTTATCATTTGATAATAATAATGCACAATGCAAGAATATGACATCCGCCATTTTCAGGTAACAGCCACAATGGATTTGCAATCTTAAACAAATATATTGTCGATATAATATATTGAGCTCAGTACACAACGATAGACGAACAATTTTAACACTAAGACGCGTCTTGTCTTTAAATACAATAATAATAATAATAATAATATTTTTTTTATATGAAATGTATTATATTAGAAATGTGATAAATAAATGTATATCATAATAATAAAGCAAAATACAGATAAATACATGGTAGAAATAAAATGTTTTTTTTTTAACTGTCTGTAGGAACCCCTGTTCGGGTAAAGGCCTCCTCCAAAGATGCACAATTTTCTCTATCTTGAGCCACATGTGCACAGGTAGTGCCGGCTACTTTCTTTGTTTCATCTTCCCATCCTTGAAATACAATACAATAACACATTTGCAATCTTAATATTAAGTATTAATACATTTGACCCAGGATGAGTTACTTAAATATAACCATTTAAAATAAGTGATGGTTTCCTTATTCAAGACTTTAATTCATGTAGTAAAAGTGTAATTCATTAAACACAACAAATTAAACTGCTTTTGTTGTTAGACACTAGAGATCAGAATTTTTTTTTCCCAAAAAACTTTGAACAATGCCCCTCTGTATTATACAGGTATTTTTGTCATATGGGTGACCGCTTTACATACTTTGCTTTGGATTAAAATAACATACATACTTACAAAGTCATTTTTCTTCTTACATTATATTGAACATAACGACAAAACTTATTTACATTTTTATCATTAACGAAAAATAATTAATATAAATAGTAATTAAGAATTGTAAATAAATTTCAAATAACAAACAAGTCATTGCTTTACTTTACTGGTACACAAACAATTTTCCCCTCCCCCCACCCAAAAGTTATAAAGTTTATTCGGTTCCCTTAAATAATTAAGAGAAAACTTATGAGATACTAGCTGTCGCCCGCGACTTCCTTGGTCGGGAAAAAAAAATAATAGCCTTTGTTAACCCCGCACACAAAAGCTGTTACCAGCTTTTGTATCAAAATCGATGCAGCCGATTCAGAAATTACCCGGAACAAACTCGGATTTACGGACAGACAGACAAAAGATTTTTTTAATGAACATGAGACATTAAAAATTTATATTACATTTGTTAATTAGGTATAAAGTAAGTCGTTCCTTAATTACCCCGTTTTGGTTATTATTGTTACTAATTGGTTTATAGGGAGTGGGATATGGCCGTACGTATTTAAGCATGTTTCGGTTCCCATCTTCTTTAAACATAGAACTGAATTAATATAGTTAAAATGCAGTCGCGTAATTTAATGAGAATTTGCACGAGATATTTTGCTAGCCAGTAAGTTTGACAATCATTTTTTTTATTTTTAATAATTTAAGTTTATTTTTATATTAATTTATTGTAAAATTATTTATTAAATTAAACATTCAATTTAAATTGATTTCATATATCAGTATAATTCGAATTATATTTAAATCGAATTAAGAAAGTTTTTGATGTCTTTTTATAGAACATGCAGTGGAGAAATACGAAGTCCTTTTATGAAAAATGTTTTGAGTGGATACAATAGTTATTGTCCTAAAATAATTGACCAAAGCTTGGAAAAAGTTTCCTTTATTACTCGAGACCTAAGAGACAGGATAAAAAAGGTAATGCAATAAAATCACTTATTTATAAAAATATGGAGAACTGATCGCCAACCTTCGCTAGTCGGAGAGGCACCTCAAGAAGAAGAAGAATTTATAAAAACCTCCATATTGATTTTTAAGAATTTATATTCTAACTAACTAGTTTCATTTGTAGAATTAGTTAATAATTTGGATTTCACTTGAATTTTTGTGTTTGAAAAATTTATTGCTGTAAAATTTATCTATAATTATTTGCTAATTGTAGACTCCATACTAATTATTATGAAATTTTACTATCTAAAGAAGATAAAACGTACTGTTAACTATCTTTTTTTTCATAGAGTAAAGTGAGGTAATTTTTTTTTTCATTTTTTTTAAAATACCGTACCTCGAAACAAAAACAAAATGGAACCAACATGGGATCACTTTGTTCCGTCCGTCTGTCAAGTCCCTTGTTTTATTACTTTTACAATGTTTATTATTATGTTTCATTTTGTTGTTAAATAAAGAAATTTGTAATTGGTTCATTGTTACTATAATAGATATTTTTATTTTGTTTTACAGTTTTCTGAATATTACACAGTCGGTAGATATCCAGTACAGGGTGAGTTTATGGTGATGGCTTACGAAGCATTGAACAAAGACATGAAGATTGATGACGAATTGATGCATAAATTACAAGTGATGGTTTCTACGACCGAAATGGTATTTTTTTAATTAATTATTATCTGTTCTCTTTTGTTTTTTTTAATGATAATATAGAGGTGAAGTTTAAAAATAAACATTTATGTAAATTTCGAATGTTTTTAGGTACAAAGTTACTTTTTCATTTGGGACGATTTGGCTGATAACAGCAAGGAACGTTGCGGCAAGCCTTGCTGGCATTTGTTGGACGATACGGGTTTCATTGCGATCAATGATGCTTGTGTTATGAGAAGTTTTATCAATGAAATAATAAGACAACATTTCAGTGGTGAAATGTGTGCTAACATTTTAAGTATTTACGATAAGGTGAGTTCTATGAAGAATTATAACCTTACTTTTTACTGTTATATTCTTATACTAGCGGTTGCTTCGACTCCGTCCGCGCGGTATTAAAAATAACATGAGTAGCCTATGTGCTCTTCCAGACTATGTTCTATATCTATGCCAAATTTCATCGAGATCCGTTCAGCCGTTCTGGAGATGCCGTCAAACAAACATCCATCCATTCATCTAAACATTTGCATTTATAATATTAGTAAGATCATAGTGAAAGTTTCTTTATATTTGGTTCTGTACTCATAGATTTTTTACTAGTTAATTTTGAAATTTTAATATGGATTTTAAACAACTAATTATCAAATGAATTATTGTTATTAATTTTAACTTTTATTTTAAGGTTTACTTTGTGTCGTCTGTCGGTCAATATATGGAGGTAGAGGTATCCAAAACTAGAAATTATGATAATTATAACATTGAATTATTAGCGAAGATAAATGCATTGAAATCTGCGTTCTACTCTGTCAAATCGCCGCTTTTGTTAGCGCTGGCTCTTAGCAACAAGTTGAACAAAACGTCATACGACATAGTGGATGATATGGGTTTGGACATCGGTGTGTTAATTCAACATCATGTAAGTTACACAAATATAATTACAATCAATACAGGGGTCTGGGCTCCGAATATGACTTTGTCCCATTCTGTGTCGAGACCCTTGGTCCGTGGAAATATCAAAAAAGTTAATCGATATCACAGGGGACTGAAGAGCTGGCAGCAACCTCGGACAAAGAATTAGTATAGCTATTCAAAGGGGGAACGCTGCCAGTGCCTTCGGAACCTTGCCTAAAGGGATTTTAATAATATTTTTTAGTTAATTATTCGTTTATAATATTTTATTTAATATCATAGATTTAAATCAAGGATTAAATGTTATTTTATTTTTAAAATATCATTTGTAAAATATATGTAAATTTTTTGTCTGTCTGTCTGCCTGCAAAGCCCTGTTTGTATTGGGTAATTTGCGGAACGGCTGGACCGTATTTATAGGAAGATAGGTATCTATATAATTACAAGTTTTCTTTTTCTATATGATTCTTGAAGTGAGTTATGAACGTAATTTTAATTCCGTTACTCTTAATTATGCAAAGATATTTTTGAATTTCTCATCGTGAAAGTTAATTTGATTTTAGACAAGAAGAAATTTAATTCAATATATTTTATATTACAGAACGATTTGATAGATTTCTATAGCGAAAAGGGTACGATAAGCGTCAACAAAAGCTCTACGGA